AAACAAGAGAACTAGGATCAAAAACGTGGAAAGGAATCAAATTTTGGGAATATCGACGAGAAACTGCAAGAGGAACACATGGGTAAGAAATCAAACCGGCTTTATAGATATAGTTAAACGAATAATTAAAATAAACCGGATAATCATATAATAAGAGGTGATGAAGGATGGAATAAAGGGATAATCCAACGGACAACAAAGTGTATTATTACAAAACAGTAGTAGAAGACGGCCGAAGTATAATTGGAATGAGGAAATGAAGAAATTATGCTGAGGAGCGACTTGGCCTAGAGTTGTCAGGGAAAGGAAAGAATGTAAGCGAATGCCAATTGTTTTACGCGAAGTGAGGTGTTTATTTATTTCTATTATTATTATAATCTAATTTAGAATCGATGTGGTTCTCAAATCTTCATCATCGTCACTCTCACACTACACACTCAATAAATACATTCCATCTCAGAACACAATATATCAAGTACTATGTACAATAAAGCAGACCTGTTTCGTCTAAAAATCGTAACAGAGGGCTTAAATACACGCTGCCGTTATCACGCACAATTCTAATATCGGATTGCGTTCCTACACGCTCCCTAAGTTGAGCTAAATTATGTGAAACATCGACTTTCTCTACATGCCGAGACATACGCGACTTTGGCACAAAATTAAGTGCAAGTGTGTTGACAACGCATTTTTTGTCGGGTTAGGATGATTATCTTCTGCAGTTGGGACACTCTGGATGCCACTGGACGCTGCCCTTTCACTTTCCAAATTTCTTTATTGAACCTAAGGCTTTGAACAAAAAAAACCTGGCGTGGCCGATTCTTAGTGAAGTATGATCCCTCTTGGCAAATTCTTACTGGTACACTGACGGCTCCAAAAATGACGAGGGCACGGGAGCTGGAGTCTTTGGGAAGGACCCAAAGACCGAAATGACGATAAACCTATGTAAATATGGTACAGTTTTCCATTCTGAAATCGATTGAATACTGCGCCAGGGAAATAAAATCGCTAGGAATACATTCCTCGAAGATAGCCATCTTCTCTGGCAGTCAGGCAGCACTAAAGGGCCTAGCCTCGAGCGAGGTGAAAGCGAATAGTGTTTGGAACTGCATGAAGGCCCTGACCAAAGTCAGTGACACTAATGACCGAACCTTGGCATGTGTCCCTTGGTACTCGGGGCATAGAGGCTAAAAGTTTGAATGTCGGCCAAAGACGGGGCGAACATGGACTCTCTGGGTCCTGAACCCTACTGTGGCTTAGCATCCTGCCACCAAAGAGGATACATCTTAAAATGGATCCTTAATGAGTCCAAAACCTGGTAGAACAATACGGGAAGAGATTCATAGAAGGGCCATCCGCCAAACTTACAAAGGAATTAGTGGATGGCATCCTCACCCGAGCCTGGATTCTGGTTGAACTCCTGACAGGACATTGCCACTAAAGAAAGCACATTCACTGGATACGAGTACAGACAGAAGAATCACTGTTTAAATACTGTAAGGAAAAGAAGAAGACCGCAGAACACATTTTATGTTTCTGTGAAGGTCTATGTAGGTGCAGGTTCTTGCAACTAGGCCAAGAAAAACCACAAGCAAGATCCTTCACTAAAGAGCCGCTGGCAAAGCTATGGAGGCTCATGAACATTCTGAAGCTGGCCAGTGAGTTATAAAAAACAGGGGAGTATAGTAGATTCAGGTTGAGGTGCAGAAGGCCTTGTGGCCGCCTGTTTTATCCCTATCCCCTATCCCTATGATCCCTCTTCTTCGATTTTGGTCTTCGAAGGCCACCACCTATCGACCGAGCTCTTGATGCGTGGGAATTTGATCGGCAGAGTAACCGGCTCACTGACGCTTCCATTTAGTTTTAATCGTGTTGCGACATGCTTTTTATCCTCAGAGGGTCCCGACCTTAGCCTCCTCGTTCGTTTGTTCCTTACTCTCCAGAATTTAACGTGGGCTTCACACAACTGTTTTTCCGAGTCGTTTCATTTCCGAGTATCTTTCCAACAAATACAAGAGAGAGTGCAGATAAGGTAGACAGCAACGTATCGAATCACCCCCAAACGCCTACTAAATAGCATACCGTTTCAACGTGTAAATTCTCCAGTGTACATGAAAATGCGCAACCTTGCATTTCACGGCGCACGCCACACCTGTTTTAAATATTTTAAGAGAGTTTAATTACTGTCAGGATTAATTATTACGTTAATCAATTCTCTTAATTAAAGCAAAATTGAATGTCGAAACTGAAAGGAATCTCATAACGATATTTGTGACCCTTTGCGATTTTTCTCTTTATGACGTCCATAATTGTTCTATAGGGTACATGTCAGGAGAACCTGTTGACCACTATATCCTCCATGTAATGGGTGACAACTCGATCGAGCATTATCATGCATTAACCCGAAGTTACCCCAATAAATGGAGCGAATGGGCCCTCAGCTTTCAGAAGAATTTCCTCAAATGTACTTTAGTGCGGTCAAAGATCCATTGTGCATGATAATCGATTTGGTATATGTTGATTACACCACATACCATAACTGACCTTCTTTGAAAAGACTGTGACACAGGCATGACATATGAAGCAAAGCATTCTTTATTTCTTCTCGGCACACGGTCCCAGTAATCTATTGCCACAAACCAAACCGTTGCTTCCAGCCCATACCGTAACTGATTGACGCATGACACATGTTCTCCATCATCAAATGATCATTTGTTTGCCACAAACGAAACCGACAATCATTTGTGAAGATCCTGTTCAAGTGTCCAAGATGCTAATTTACGAATAGCCGCCCTTCTACTCGATGCCTCTCCGGTAGTGGAAAACCTGATGTGGGACGTCTAGAGAGTAGACTATCACGAATCCTTTTTATGTTTATGTTTTAAAGCTCATCCTTACTTCAGCTGACTACAAGCAAAACTCTTCTGCACCAGATCTTCTGAATCAGTTTACCACAAACCACACCGTCACTTATCTGTGAAGAGAACAGCCCCCCCCATTGTTCAAGTGACCAAATTTGATGTTATTTTGTGAGTAGTCGCCTGATGTGGGACGTCTAGAGAATAGACTATTCTCACGAATCCTTCTTATGTTTAGGTTTTAAAGCTCAACCTTGACTTGACTACCTATCAACAAAGCTTAAAAGTCTGTTCCGTAGTGAGGTAAGAGCAATAAAAGGACCGTCTCTAGGAGTCGTACAATCGCGTTCGATCACTACTTTAGACCGAGACTTCCGGTGGTTCTGAACCGCTGAAGACCATCGTGGATGGTAGAACGCGACACACCCAGGACTTGGGCTATTTGAGAAACGCTGCGTCCGTCGTTAGCCAAAGCATATGTCCAATGTTCAAGTGTCCAAGCGAGATAGATTTGCGAATAGTCGCCTCTCGATGCCTCTCCAGTAGGAGAGAACCTGGATTGGGACGTCTAGAGACTAGGCTATTCTCACGAAACTATCTGATTACTCTTAGAAACTCAGCGTTACATTTGAACCGTTTGGAGTTGACTACCTATCATCGAAGCCGTTAACTGTCGGTTCAGAGTGCGGTACACCGCAGTCGACCACTACCTTCTCTTCGAACGAGACTTCCGGTGGCCCTAAACCGCTGTACACCATCATGGATGGTAGAACGTGGCACCCTCAAGATTTAAGCTAATTAACGGGATGATAGCTACTAAATCCGTCGTTGGCCAAAGCATCTGCCCGGGCGAGATCTTCTCGACTTAAAATGTGATCAAATTTGATTGTCTTTATTTTTAATCTTATCTTTATGCATAAGTATTACGGAAAATAAACAAATAAATGCAAGTGCCCAGTTTTTTTTTTTGTCTTTGAGGGTATTAAATTATAAATGTTGGTACAAAACTCGTTCAATTATTTATTTTACAGCAATTTTGCAGTACCATTTAATTGAGTTCTATTCCCAGTCTACATTCTAAGGTAATGCTAATTAGAGGTGTCATTATTTGTAAATAATTTTGCAATTTTCGTTCCACATATAGGAAACAAACGGACCCAACGAAGTTTAACTTCAAAGTTTCAGGCACGATTTTAGACAAAACACGCGATTAACTATGTAGTAAATGTTTGTTTTTTTCAACTTAAAGATGAAAATGGACAGTTAAACAGTTTATCTCTGGTCTTATTATTTATAAGAACCTCTATATCGACGAGGGCTGAGAATCTGGGTCAGTGCGATAACGTTCGATCATATTTTGCCAGCCGAGGGAAAATGTAGGTCGTGGATCTGTCGGTTCCTCAGAAGTTTCAATAATAACGCCTTGGATAATAACAGATAATGTGAACCGTATTTTTCACTTATTTAAAAAAAAAATCAATCCCCTATCAAAATCTCAATTAAATATTAACAAAAATTTCTACATACTTTGATGCTAAATTATTTTATCCAGTTCTCTTAGGAAAATATAGGATTGATATATTATATAACCTATAACGGAATGTTGATCATACTGAAACTGATATTTTTTACATTCATTTAGTTGTATAGAAAATATATTACTTTTTGATTGATCCTTTAAATTTAGTAGTTTTAATTGGAACAATTATCCTATACATAAGTATTATCATTTATTGCAATATTCAATTAAATAAGGTCTTGCTTCAAAAGCTACAAAAAAGGGGGCGAGGAAAACATGCGGATATGATGTGAAGATGGCGAAATGTCGAAATTAGCGACGCAAAACTGAGAACGTGCGAGCAAAACCTATTAAACTAATATATTACTTTCATCATTTTTGGTCATTTTAGTTTTCCTACAGACTCCATTTTGGTTTGTACAACAATACCAGAAAATTGGAGGTAACCAGAAAGGTTCGGAGGGTTTAAAAATTGTCACAATTAAAATTAGTTTAGAAATATTTTATTCGATGAAGTAGTATCTATTGGCAAGTAAGTTTAGTTACTAGCCTAGTTATGCCCTTCTTATACATGTTTGAGACCTGGTAATTAAAAAAATAAATAAACTCATCTCATTTTCCAGGTGTTGGCGATCATTGAATCCCGATTGCGCTTTGATACTTCATTGCTAAGAAAAGGTGATATTCAGATGGGGCCAGGTCCGGAGAGTACTACGGTTACGGAGAGATGTGGTAGACCTTCCCAACTAACAACTTGTAAGTTTCATTATCATCTCCTTTGTCTGATTGTATGAGGTCTTTCGTTTCCTAGTGAAAAAGTACATTTTTTCTGTTCATGAGACAAGGTTGTTTCTGGTTAGGACAAGAGATACTCCTTGCGGCTTGGTTGAGTAGATTAATGCGGTCCGGTTATTTGGCAGGAGTTCGTAGTGCACAATGCCTGCCGTACTTCATCGAGCACAAAGCATCATCTTTTGATGGTAAACATTCGGTTCAATGGGGCAGGGTTATTGAAATAAATGTTGAATGTTTAGATTATGAAGCTTGTTACCGTCGGTCAATTTATGAGAAGCTCATTTTCTAGATGTAAATTAGAGCGAATGGTTTCATCGCTTACGTTGAACACTCTGGGCAGGTACTGACATGTTTGACTCAAATCATGTACGATGGCTTCTCTCAATTCGTCGTCAAAGTAAACGATGCCCAGATGTTTAGTCATTTTTGTCTTAGCTGGGTTGGACTGTCATCTTCATTGCTTCTGTGCCAGTTTGTCGAAAGGCCGAAACGCGCCTGAAAACAGGCATGCAGACCAACATGGTTGTTAACGACCAAAGTTCAGGTTCATTATTCCGGAGTCAACATGGAGAATCTCACGATATCCAGATGGTTTGTTTTCTTAATTGCAAACGATTTCGCACCAATTGGATTGCAATGTTGCCCGACTTTTACAGTCTATTTATTCTTCAGGATAAAAACATATGATATCCTTGAAAAGAATATACACCACATTTAGTTAAAAAACAAAATCCCATGTTTCACCCTTTTTTCCAGGGATAACTTCATTTTATTACCAATGGAAATTCACCATATTGAATATTTCAATTCAAGAACAAAGAAAGCCAGTTGCGTAAATTAGACCTTCCTACTGTTCATAAATTAAATTTTTTATAGGTGAAAACTCATACAAAATTAAACATCGGGGAAAATTCCCAGTTTGTAACTTTCATCTATTGTGTTCGATCTATTCTAATGGGTTTCCTGGGAGATTTTTTTTTTTTGGCTTTAACGAAGTGCAATTTTCTCAAGAGTATATATCTGGGTCTATATTAGATAGAAATACCTTTCCAAGGTATTACAGGGCTGTTGCATTAGTCTACATTGGTCACCTGTTGATAGTTCAATTTTTTAGTTAGTGTTTTTATTCCAGGATTTCTTCTTTCTCCCATTGGGTTGTTTTTGAGAGCAATCTTTTATGCTGCCTCATGCCTAGCCTCCTAGTAATTTTTATGTTCTTAAGCCCAATATTGCAGTGCTTGTTTTAATGCTGTTATAGTATATACCATAAAATGGATTTGGGACTCTAAAAATACCTTTCCTAGGTATTGCCCGGCATTTGCATATTTATGACAGATGCATTGGTCATCTGTTGATAATCCCATTGTTTTAGATAGTGTTTTTATTTCCAGGATTTTTTCTTTTCCCATTGGGTGGTTTTTGAGAGCAGTCTTTTTTGGTTGTTTCATGCCTAGCGTCCCAGTAAGTTAAGGTAAGTTCTAAAGCCCAATATTCCAGTGCTCGTTTTAATGCTGTTATAGTATATACTATAAAATGGATTAGACTCCAGAAATACCTTTCCTAGGTATTGCCCGGCATTGGCATATTTATGATCCGTTGTCTCAGTCCCTTCTGGACATAGTCTATATTGGTCATCTTTTGATAATTCCATTTTTTTAGATAGTATTTATTTCCAGGATTTCTTCTTCTCCCATTGGGTTGTTTTTGAGAGCAGTCTTTTTTGGTTGTTTCATGCCTAGCATCCCAGTAAGTTAAGGTAAGTTCTAAAGCCCAATATTCCAGTGCTACTTTTAATGCTGTGATAGTTCATACAATAAAATGCATTGGGTCTCTTGTTTATTTCCAAGCTACATTTTTAGCTTGTGTGTCGGCACCCTAGTTACCTGTAATTCTCTCATGTCCTTTTTTTATGGTATTTAGGAAGTGTTAGTTGATCTCGTAAGCTTGGAGAGCCTTTAGTGCTTCCCTATCTAATAGCATTTATTAATGTCTATTATTGTCCTTCATATTTTTTTGGTATTTTTGTTATATGTGCTCATGATTAGAAAAGTCCCCTTTCTGCCTAAACCGTTCGTTCCATTTCCCATTTTTTTAGCCGCCTGTGCCATAAGAAGAGCTGTTGGTTTTTCTTATTGTTTTCTATCTTTCCATTTTTTTCATAGTTTCAAAGTTCTAGTATTTTCTCTGATAAGAGTTTGTTTTAGCCGTGTCAGTTATTTTAAGTTTATCAAAAATTGTGATCAGATCAGCATTTGTTTGATGATTTCTTTCCTCTGCCCGATGAATTCTCAATTCTTCTGATAAGATTCTTTTACCTTTTTCTATTTCATATTTATCAACAATGTTTCCTTTTTATAATCAATTTTCGTATTTCCTGTTTGAGTTCTGTTGTTTTTATAATTGTGATTCTCTCAAATTTTACGTGTTGTTTTGCCCTGGCTTTTGCTCCATTTAATCTTCGTTTATAATTAATTTTAAATTATTATTGTTTTAGGTGCCTTCTCATTATGCGCAATTTCTAACGAGCCCTTTTATCGATGTTTATTTTCTATTTAGGACTTTTTGAAGTGTTCGTAATTGTCGACCGATAAACTCAACGAACCGTGTATTTCTTTTCTGTTTCAAGTAGAAGCAAAATGGGTTAAACTCGAGATTAAACTTTTAAAAATAAGGATGAAAATGACTACAGTTTTTGAACCTACGACTTAAAACATCAGCGGACTCAGCTTTTTGTTTTAAAAAAGGTAGTAAGTAGTATAAGTAAAAACTTAAAAATATAGTAATCTCGACATATTTAAACTCGTAAATGTTTCGAATGGAATAATGCGGAGTGGAACTGGTTTTCTATTTTGCCCCTGCCGTTCGTCCTACCTAAAGAGCGAGTCATGGTCAAGAACGATTTCTTACTTGTTATTAGAAGATAGTTAAAACTTTACAGCTCGGAAATGATTCGTTTTAATTATAATTGAAATCATTCCAAAGCGAAGGAAAATTAATCAGTAATGCCAAGGGAAACAAATCTTTCTTTATGCGTTAAAATTGATTTATTTACCTTCTTTTACTGTCATTTACAACTAGAATACAATTTGAAAAGTTGGTTCATTATTTTTCATATTAATTTACTTTTTCAAAAGATTAATTAAACTTGTCATGTAGATAATAATCGATTTCACAGTAATGATCAAAGCAGAAAGAATTTAAAAAAGGGGGAAAAGTTTAACTATCACTGGTAGATTTCCTCGTAATTTATAAATAAAAATGGGGTGGGAACTCTCTAAACTCTTCACAAAATTTTAAATTATCAAAACAATTTTTTATAAAGTTGAATCGTTTCTGTTGGCGTAAAGAAGTTTATAAGTAGAACTTGAAATTTACTTTCAACCCCTTCTTAAAGATTGGTCGATTTTGAAGGTATTCATTTTTTAAATTTTTAGATTTTTTCCATTTTTAAGTAAAACGAAGTATATCTTCATTAAAGCTCTCCGTGGCCATGTTATTTGTCGCCGAGAACCGAATTCCCAGATTAAACTACATTTGAAAAATGGCAAAAAGGAGGGAAAATTCGAAAGGTAAATTGAGATGGGGAGTTGGTGTCCGAGTGGATGGAAGTCACGATAGCTCAAGTGGTTAGAGTAGCGGCGTATTGAGCGAAGATCGTGGGTTCGAATCCCACTTGTGACAGTGACTTTTTCATTTCAACCAATACCTTACATAAAGATTAATTTGGTTAGGGATGGCTGATGACTTTTCGGGGGCGTCCGTGGCCGCAACGGTAGGCGTTTACACGGCGCTCATAACTGTAAAGGTAAAGGTCCCGGGTTCGAATCCAGCGGCCCTGCATTCGAACCCTACATACTTACAAATGGGCTTTTTTTTCAAAGGACCGGCACCCCGAGCGTTGATATAACCTCTACTGTTGCGAACCCTCGTAAAAAAAATTAATTAATTGAAAGAAGGCATTCATTTTGTTCACGATAACTTTCAGGCTTTATTTAAATGTAAAAGCAACATTTAAGTAAATTTCGTTTAAATTTTTGTTTTAAATACTACAATAAATAACATTTGAATGTAATTGTTTTATTCCAATCATAAACTTCAAGGATATGAAACCAACTGAAAAATGTTCTCATTTCCTGTAAATATTTTTTTTTTGCATGGAAAGTGTTTAATTGTCTTAGGCAGGGTCGTTAGAGCTCGGTGGATTTATGGCTCCGCTGGTAAAACTTTCTGGCTGTTGTAAATCTCGCGGGCGACGACAGTTTAACAAGGAAAATTTGAACTTCTTTCCGTCTGATTTCATACATCAGGACGTATTCTGGCATTGCTGAGGTACTAGATTCAAGTTGAATCTTCTTGAAACTGTGGTCTGCCGGGTTGATAAACCTATTGTTTTGATGGTTATCTATCGTCTTGGTCCGCCTATCCTCGCTGATATTTGTTGGTTCAGAGCGTTTCGGCATTTCGCCATCTTCAGTGTTTGAAGTTTTAGTTTTGAGGTGTGGGGCTGTGTAGGTATATGACAGAACTGTTTGCCGGTGTATTAGATGAATCAAGTCGTGTTTTTCGTATTGTTCTAGTCGCTATTTTTGATCTTCAGTCTTTTCTTTTTTTATGTGTCTAATGTTTGAGATGATGTAAATTTTGTTTGTTATTATTAATTTATGTTATGAGTTCCTTTTAGTGTGGAATGTGTTATGTTTATTTCTAAGTTTTCTAGTATGTTTATTTTTCTTCCTTTATGTATGTTATGTATTAGTTTCATGCTTGTTTGTACTGTCGAGGGTTCATGGCTGTTTTTTAATAGGTGGGTAATCATAATTCGATCTTCGGTCGTCAGCCCATAATGATTTGATGTGTTCTTCGCATCTGTCTTTTTTTTCATCAGGTCTGTCCGATGTATTTGTCTCCGTATAAGCTATGTGTAAATTCAGTTTATGTTCTAGTTGGTCCGTCTCGTCATTGTTTTTGCTTAGCAATTTTTCCATATGTGGTTATCAGTGCTGTTTTTATGCTTATTTGTTGCATAATTTAAGTTAGTTTGAATGTTTCTTTCCCAATGTATCTTAATGTCAATTTAGTGTATGTTTTTGTGGTGTTGTTTTGTTTTTGGGTGCGTATTTTGTTTATTACTTTGTGTATTTTTGTGGGGACCGGTTATTTAATAATTTATTATATTCGTGAAGTCAAGAATGAGGTAGTTAAAAAAACACCTTTTTGATTTTTTTCCCGACGTTTCGACCTTTATGCCCAGAAAATAACCCAGCAAAGGTCGAAATATCGGCAAAAAAATAAAAAAGGTTAGTTTCCAAACTACCTCATTCTTGACCGCTCCTCACGAATCCAACAAATTGTTTATTAGTTTGTTGATTGTGTTTGTGTTATAGCTGATACCGGGGTGATTATGCTTTGTATTAATTTTTTGTTTAATCTTTAATTAATAATAATAATAACACATTATTGATAGAATCGATCAAGAGTTGCTGATATCACTGATACTGATGACCTGATGTAATGATCGAGGTTATTGTCAGGGTTGGGGGGGTTTTTTAATAAAGGACTCCAAGCTTTCAACTTTATTTGAAGCCATCATCATGGACTTTTTGAACAACATTGAACAACAATACGAACCTGAAAAAGCCCTCAGGATAAATGACTTCAATTAAATGTGTGGCGATTAGTGACCGTTAATCGATATTTATCTAGAAATCGTGAGATGCGGTCTGGTGTGATGTAGGTTTCAGAAAAACATTTTCTTTATCGTGCCAACGTTTCGATCTTTATTGAGATCATCTTCAGGGCCTGGGATTTATAAACATTGTTTACATAATTAAACAATTACATTTTGGATGTGAAAAAGTGAATTTATACAATGCAAAATATATTTTTTATATATTCAATCAAAGTATTTCTACTCACTCAAAGTGTTTGTCTTCTGTGTAAAGTGTTCTTACACAGAAGACAAAAACTTTGAGTGAGTAGAAATACTTTGATTGAATATATAAAAAATATATTTTGCATTGTATAAATTCACTTTTCCACATCTAAAATGTAGTCGAATAGTCAAGTCACACAACACAAGTCGAAAGCTTGGCAGAACTGACTTTGGTTTATGAAACAGTCCCAAACCTCACCACAAACTCAATAACTTCATTTGTTAATTAATTGTAATTACAACCTTTGATCAATTCTATTAATAAATTATAACTCAACTGAGCAACATATTCATCATGACCTTTTTGGACAACTATACGAACCTGAAAAAGCCCTTAGGATGTCTTCAAATCAAGCCGAAAGCTTAGCAGAACTGACTTTGGTTTAAGAAACACCCCAACACTGACCAAAACCTCGATCAGTACATTTGTGTTATTACAACCTTTGGTCAATTCTAGCAATAAATTATAACTCAACTGAGAAATACTAATCATGGCCTTTTTGAACAACTTTGAACAACAACACGAAACTGAAAAAGCCCGGAGGATGACTTCAAATAAAGTTGAAAGCTTGGCAGAATTGATTTTGGTTTAAGAAATGTCTCAACACTGTCCAAAACTTCAATCACTACATTTGTGTAATTACAACCTTTGATCAATTCTATCAATAAATTATAACTCAACTGAACAATATTCATCATGACCTTTTTGAACAACATTGGACAACAATACGAACCTGAAAAAGTCCTGCGGATAAATGACTTCAAATAACGTCGAAAGCTTGGCAGAATTGACATTGGTTTAAGAAACACTGACCAAAACCTCGATCACTACATTTGTGTAATTACACCTTTGATCAATTCTATCAATAAATTATAACTCAACTGAGGAACATAGTTATCATGGCCTTTCTGAACAACATTGGACAACAATACGAACCTGAAAAAGCCCTGAGGATGACTTCAAATAAAGTCGAAAGCTTGGCAGAATTGACTTTGGTTTAAAAAACACCCCCTAACCCTCACCACAAACTCAATAACTACATTTGTGTAATTACAACTGTTGGTCAATGTTTTCAATAAATTATAACTCAACTGAGGAACATATTCATCATGATCTTTTTGAACAACATTGAACAACAATACGAACCTGAAAAAGCCCTGAGGATGACTTCAAATAAAGTCGAGAGCTTGGCAGAACTGACTTTGGTTTAAGAAACACGATCGCCACATTAGTCTAAAAATAATAATTTTTAATATTAGTTGTGTAATTTAATATTTCAAGTCTTAATGTTTCTTTATATAAATTAATGTTTTATAAAAATAAGTCGTAATTTTGTATTCAAAGTTCTGTCTCGGATCTTTTGACAGACTTTCCTTTTATTTATTTATTTACCCTCGCTCCCTTCAAAGCTTCAAGGGAGAAAAGCCAGCCTAAATATGTCCTCAAAGGAGCAATTACCCATCGATCGCGTTCCCTGCAAGGCATAGACACAAGATGTAGTTTTTAAAAGTAAAAAAAAAAAAAAAATTCAAGCCGGTACGCTGTTTAATAACATCCGTATACGTATAAATCCGTCTGAGGCAAATATCGTAATGATAAAGAATCATATAGTTGCAAATCTGCTTTAACCCAATTCGTCCCAATTCAAATAGTTCATGGTTCAGGCGGAATCGTCATTGCATTATGATACATGTATCTAAATAGGAAGTAGGGCGACAACCTCGACCCAGGAACGTGATTTGATAAAACCACGAAACCCCTTATCAATAGCATATTATTTTCTTATCGACAAACTATATACAATATATTGTCAAACATTACGATCTTACGCTAACACCCTTCAGATTTATCAAATTAAAAATCCGTAAAAACGAGATTTTCTTTATAAAAAAAAATATATATTGTCCAGAGAAGAATTATTTAATATTTATTTTTAAATTGTACAATCAGCACAAATACTACATAATACCGATTTATTATCCAAATGTAAAGTTTACATCTGAATTCACTCACCTCATCTTATCACGAATTACCATTGGATAAAAGAGTAATTAGAAAAACATAACCAGGGTGGCGTAAAATTATTCAATGGTAACGAAAAGAGATATTTAATTAATTAATATCAAGATAGTCAGGTCAACATCCTTTTTAATCGCCTAGATAGGAGATAAAAACGATCTGGACTATTTATTGTACCAGGTGACCAGAAAAGTTCGTGCTGTTTTTCCATTTTTTGAACGTTTTAATACCGTTATTCAACATAACTACTTTCAATTAGTTATTCTGTTTATCTAAGCCTTGTTCGAGATGAAAACGTTAGTGTCACGAGCGGGATTCGAACCCACGACCTTCGTATTCGAATCCCACTCGTGATACTTTTTCATCTCGACAAGACCTTAGACAAACAGAATAATGAATTGAAATAATTAATATGGTCTATTATGTCTGCTAAACATATTTGGATTACTACTTACATTGGAAGATTAGGTGTTTACATCATGCAATATCCAGAAGATAATGCGACTTTTCATAATGAAAAAGGTGTCTTGAACAGTTCACTGTAAATTATAAAATAGTTTCTTTCTTATGACTTCAAAACCCATATGAATTTTAGACCGAGGCAGCTTGTAAAATTACACTCCGTTTGGTAAAGAACTAATAAGTGAACGCACTGTCCAAAAGTGGTTCAAAATGTTCCCAGGAATGAGTGGATTGATGATGAACTAAGTTTCTGGTAGACCTGTCTTGAATTGCAATGGAGGAAAGCTATCGAACTTGATTCGAGTCAAACTCTTTAAAAACCGCTCGTGGAAGCAGATCAAATCATAAAATGACCGATGATCAAGCTTCACCGTGTCAATATTTGCTTTTTATTGCTTACGCTGCACAAAGTACATTTTTTGACCGGGTTGTCACATTCCACAAAAAATTGATCCTGTATATCACATTATTTTATCCTGAAGAACAAATAGACTATCAAAGTAGGGAAACATTGCAACCCAATTGTTTGCAATTGAGAAAGTAACCTCTGGATATCGTGAGATTCTCCATGCGGAGTAATGATCCTGAACTTTGGTCCTTACCGACCATGTTTTCAGACGGGTTTCTGCCTTTCGACAAAATGGCACACTGAAGAAGGCCGAAACGCATGTGACAGACCAACCCAGCTTAGACAGACAAAAGTGACCAGCAACGACCAATTGTGGTACAACATATAACAACATTAAAACAATCACTGGAATATTGGGCTTAAGAACATAAAAATTTCTGGGAATACCGATCATCCTGGTCTGCCTATCTGTTGTCAGACGCGTTTCTGCCTTTCGACAAACTGGCACACTGAAGATGGCCGAAACGAATGTGAGAGACCAACCCAGCTTAGACAGTCAAAAGTGACCGGCAACGACCAAACATCTGGACATCGTTTACTTTGACGACGAATTGAGGGATGCCTTCGTACTTGATTCCAGTCAAACATACAGGACCTTGCCAGAGTGTTCAACGTAAGCGATGAAACCATTCACTCTAATTTCCATCGAGTTGAGAAACAAAGAACACATCTTCATTGTCTAAACATTTACCATTTATTGCTTTTCTGGCACAAAGATTTATTGACCGGATTGTCACATGCGACGAAAAATGGATCCTGTATAGTAAAACCAGGTACCATTGGTTTTCACCAAATGGTCTTGTCTCAATGAATATTTATCAACAAAAGGTTTAGTGAAATAGAACGGTAATTTAGTGAAACGGAACAGGCATTCTGCACTATGAACACCTGCCACGTGGCTAGACCTACCTCAGAAATCTATAGCCAACTGGCGAACAAAAAGTCACCAGTTTTTCAAACGAAAGATTTCTAACAAGAACGACAAAGGAAGAGATAACGTAGCGTCGTTGGGAAGGCCTAACACACCTTCGGTACTCTCCAGACCTGGCCCCATCTGACTTTCACCTTGACTTCGCATAAAACATATGCGCAATCGGTAGTTCGATAATCACCAACCACAAGAAAATAATCTGAGTTTACTTTTTAAGTCCCGGGACTCAGAAATTTATAAGAAAGGCATAACTAGCCAGTAACTCTAGTAACTCGTAGGGAGATGTTTGCCAATGGAGTCTATTTCCTAAAATAAAAATATATCTAAATTAATTTTAATTGTGTCACTTAAACTCTTTAAACCCCGAACTTTTCTGGTATTATTTTACAAACGAAAATAGAACCTATAGAAACAAATGCTTTCTAAACAGTCAGAGAAACGTCAAAGTCACCAGGAGGTCATACCATCGTCTGTAACCGAATGATTCAGTCCATTGACTCGAATATCAAATATTCTCCAACAAAAGATATACTTTTTAAATTCAAATCGTTCCTCAATTCGTTGTCATTCAAGGCGGAAGACCTACCGTGGTTCATCTTCAATCCCCTCACTCCCAGAAGCAAACTTTTTGCGCTCATTTGCCCTCATTAGCTAAAATTCCTACAATCAGCGCGCAATTATGGTTTTAAAAGTCAAGGGAAAGAAAATATTTCATAATTTACAGTGAACCGTTCATTACATTTTTTCTTTATGAATTGACGCATTATCCTCCCCGTATTTCGTGATATAAGCTATATATAATTCTCCTTTGTAAATAGAAATGTTGATCAACAGTATTAAAACAATAACAAATAGTAACAATAGATTAATATTTACGACAAAACGTTACAAGGTTTGAAAACAAACGTCATCTTTTGTAATTTTTTCGACTGCTTGACAGCTAAATATTTGTTCAAACACCATTACTACTAACATTTTTCTTTCTTTTTTCATTATCTGTTACAGTGTAAAATACTGGAATAAAGAAATTATGAAGAGAGCAAAATTTTAAGCGCGGTCGAACGGAAGATCGATAATACCAACTGAAATTACCCAAAGGACAAGGGTATAAGTTGGCAGATGCTGTACCATCATGAGATTATTACATACAGACCGCAAACTCTAATGGATTTTTCACACAGAGCAATCAAACCGACGCATAATAAACGTTTATTTTCGTTCCACTTATTTCCTTTCTGTTGACGCAAGTAGTATCAAGGTTTTTCGTAGCCAATTTACATCGAACTGACATTTTTTTGTGTTATTATTTGTAAAAACGCGCAGTTTTGTTTAATAATGTTTAGTTTAATTGGCGATATTTAGATTTCTTTTTCGATAATGTACAAAAATTCAAAAACTTTCACTGGAAAATCAATAACGCGAACAAAATAAAATTGGCCTACAATCCTTCAAGAAGAATTGGGGTTGATAGGTTCATCGATTTTTTTGAATTTTATTTGTGAAATAACATATCAAACCTTCATTATTTTAACATATCAACTTTTTTTATTCTTATTGCAGACTCACTCAGTTAATTTTTCCGAATCGGTATCTTCGTTGAACATTAGTCAGCAATTTTACCGGCCTTGATGAATCTGGTCCACCTTTTCTCGCTGTTTGATTGATTAGACGCGCCATTTTCAACAGATCCCTATCATTCGAGATTTCAGTCAATTCTGGCATATGTCTTAGACGTGTAGAAGGGGAACTAATGCTCTTATTTAGATTTATACTGGCAGTAATCCTGAAACAACACAGCTATGTAATTGTGAATTGTAATTAAAATCGTCCGACTCTGAACTGTTCTAATTTGTACATCCTGTGTTTTAGAGTTGTTTTGAGTTTGTGCGAGATACTTTGCGATTGTACTTAACTTCAGCCAATTAGTAAAGTCGAGATTATCCTCCGTTTTAACCATTGCCACGCAGGATCGTCGTACTTGCTGATGTTTGCTATTTTCTTGAAGAATACTTTACCTTGTTTATCGTGTTTGTTGAATTGGAATAAAATAGCACAGCTGGATGTTTAACAAACAAGAAAACACGTCCTAGCCACACGATTCCTTTATGAAATTCACGTACTCATAAATTATTTTTACATTGTATGCCAAATGTATCACTTTCATCAGTGCGTTTTGAAACAATTGGTCTTTGGAATACTGCACAATTTATTCTAAATGTACAATCCAATAACCAAGGTTTTTTTAAATCAAATCTAATAAAGATAAGCTTGCAATCCTACAGGGAACATCACTTTCCACTTAGATTCTAGTATTATCTGGAGTCCCCCAAGGAAGTATCGTTGGCCTGATCCTTTTTAAAATTTACCATGCAGTCATTCCTACTGCCCCAAACAGAGTAAGTCATGGCCACGTTTATCAACGACAAAGCAAATCTCTCTTATTCCAACCATCGCGTTTTAAGCTCTTTTCTGCAAAGTTCACCCGCAAATGAATAATCAAAGTGAACGAAAGCAAATGTGTTCAAGCCACTGTCGCACAAAAAAAGTCAATGGCCCCATGGGATTGACTAAAGTAGGTATGTATCATGAGCCGGTTATGGTTTTACTACAAATACCAGGAGATGTAAAATGAGCCAATGAAAGAAGAAGTTGGAGTCATAAAGACATAACGTAGGTGTAATACCATCAAAAGCACATCCATTAATTAAAAAAATTATTATGTAAGTGAAATGTCGTCAAAAACGTATCAGTCAATTTTAAACAAATAAATTAGTTATTAAGGGTGAAGTTTACTGTACATTGCGCTGAGCCTGTCAACGAATGCTGCTGATTTCGTGATTCTCGTATACTGACTGATGACCTGATTAAAGCTTGTTTTGTGAATGCTTGTGAACGTCTATTTCAAATATAAATTTCTTAACTACATTATAACTCTACCCAATTTGATCTCTCCTGATTCCATTGTGTACTGCTTGCGATTTTTGAAGTTATTTATAAGTTGCAAACACCCACGTTGCCCTATGGCCACATTCAATTCAATGTTTTCTTCGTGTGCTCCCGACATAATTGAATTGGTCATTTTGAAAAGGGGCTATCTCCAATTTTTCAAATTTTACAGATCAAACAAAAATGTGTGGTGTTTAGTGACCGTCAACCAATGATTATTTCCAGATCGTGAGATGCGGTCTAGAGTGACGTAGGTTTTAGAAAAAATTTTCTTTATCGTGCCAACATGTGAGACATCACAGAGAGTGAAAAAAATGCATTTGTAAATTTAAACAATGTTTATAAATTCCAGGCTCTGAAGATGATCTCAATAAAGATCGAAACGTTGGCACGATAAAGAAAATGTTTTAAAACCTACGTCGCACCAGACCGCATCTCACGTTCTCCAATTAATTATTTATTATAAATTTTAAAGTTTCCATAAAGTTTAAATTATCAAATTCCATAAAGTTTAAATTTTGAGGAATTGTTATCAATCTTTTTTCTCTATTATTATCCAAGGATCTTGTGGGATATAACACGTTTTTTTGTACTTTAACCTATTTTCAAAATAAACTTGGGTTTTCAAAATCAACGCAATCTTTTTTTAAGTGTATTTGCATTCTTTTAAAATCCACAAATATATATTTCGCACTCACACACCTATTATTTTTTCATGTAAATAAAAGTATTACGTTGCTTTAATAATAAATATATAAAAATTAAAACATCTAACATCATAATGGTTTGATGTTGTTGCCCCATCCGACTCAGTGGGTTTATTTACCCTCCGGCTCTAATTTACATGACCATGGCTTCTTTCAGACCGGCTTTTTTTACATAAGGAATTAAGGTTGGCGGGCATTCCCACCTCAGGTAGCGGTGAGATCGGCTCAATTTGCCATCGCCCGCCCTCCATTACGACTCAGTACTGATACCGACTGCTGACATAATACCTGGTACTGTAGATTGATAAAAGTGTGACGTGAAATCCATTCACTAGCCCGAAACGACAATGAACCCCTGTTGCAAAGTCTTGCAGTGATTACTCTACCAATCATCCCACCTAAACATTAACAACAAACCCTTTACCAAACACTCATTCTGCCGATATGAAGCTTCGGAGTGGAAGTTCGACGCTCAACCTCAACCAAACGTTCCAACATTCACCTCCTATCCAGCCTCTTCAATCCAAAATCCTAAGAAAAATCTTTATTGCTCATTTCTACCTCCATACATTCGTTCAAGACCTTGTAAGAACACATTATCAAAAATTCCACAATACCCTTTGTGTCAACAAAAAACACTCGTTCAACAACTTTCCTCACTAACCCTACTGGAACTCAACCCTCTTAAAAGGCATTGTATAATTTTCGGCACCTAGTTTTTCCAGTTACTCGTCGCTTTCAGGCCTGAATGTGGTGCCGGCACAGGAAGCAAGCTCTTTGCAATAAAAAAATGGGAATCCTATTCTAGACCTTACCGAAAAGAAGAAACCCTTCTAGCCCGGCTTCGAACGGCCAAGTCCGGCTCCTTCAAAGCACCCCTAAGCCTATTTCCAATTTGTATATCCCACATCATAATTGATTCCCTTTTATAAATTTCTGCCAGAACTTTCACCAAACCTCCAAAGACCTCCAATCCGTACTAATCAATATTTCAGCATCAATAACCAATTTTATTTTGGTTGTGGCGACCCCGAAAGACCTAGGATGCTGGGCGGTCCTGGGTCGTATTGAGAGGTGCCTCCCCGGATTCTGAGATCGAGGAAGCTCCAGTAAGCAGGAGAAGGTGTCGATGGTGGCTGGTAAGTTTAAAACTATTTGTTGGATAGATCCGGTCCTTTCCTGCTTGCATTTGCCGTAGTTTAAAGGAAACTCGCTCTGATGGAGCCGGGCTGTATCGCTGACTTGTACAAACTTAAGATTTCAGAAAAATAAAGTCTAACATGAAATGAACCTTATTTTCTAATTTCCTAACCTTATTTCTAACGTTCATATCAATAAATTAGGATTATTTGCATATTGAAACTTGCAAAAAAGTCCTATTGGTTAAAAATTTAAACGGTAGGTTATGTATTTAATTCTGAATAATTTACTAGTTTTCGTGGTCCGCTTGACCAATTAATGTCTTTCAATTAATTAAGGTTTTTAGTTGACATAAAAAAAGTCAGTGTCACGAGCGGGATTCGAACCCACGCCTTTCGGCTTGATACGCCGCTGCTCTACCACTTGAGCTATCGCTACTTCGATTCACTCGGAAAAAATGGCAAAAAAGAGGGAAAATTCAAAAGGTGGAGTTGAAGTGGGAAGTTAGTGTCCGAGAGTATCGAAGGGCTTGGGTTCGAATCCTGCTCGTGACACTGACTTTTTTATCTCAACTTACCTTAATTAATATTCTATATAATCTTGAAAATTGTGCCCCACGCCCCTAAAAGAACCCTAGCAGATATGTTATTAGCATGCTCATCCTTTGCTTCTTTCAGAATAAAATATATTGAAAATTGCATTCCCCAAATTAATAATAACAATAAGGATAAATTTTTAAATCTATGTATTCCCATTGGTATTGGGGTTTCATACAACATTGCAAGCACCTCCCTAGTTGATATCAGCAACTTTTCCATAGAAATAGACTTGTATCGCATTCTGGCCCTTTACCATCCTCAACCAATCATCATAAACTTGTTCATGTTGACAAATCTTTGTGCAAATATTCCGTATTCATTTACAATAAATCATATGAAGTCCTAGTCATCATCGATTAGAGAAAACACGAGCCTGATCTTTCCAAAACTTTGTTTTTAAACCTGCTTTCTTCCGTACTCTTTCTAAAGCCCATGTCCATACCTAATTGATATATTTTTAATAACACAGTTTCAAGTTCCCATCAGAGCGAGGCAAACCCCGGCGCAGTGGCAGCCCCAGACTTGGAAAGAACGGAACCCCACGGATCTCTCGCAACTGATGCTTTTAATCTTAAGATTGTGCGCAGTGCTTTATCGAGGAGGTGTCGATGTCTAGTCACCATCGACACCTTCTCCAAGCTAGCTGAAGATTTCTTGATCTCAGAGTCCGGGGAGGCACCCCTCAATCCAGCCCAAGACCGACCAGCACCCAAGGCCCAGAAGTCAGCCGCGCCACACCGCCAACACGGGGAACCAGCAAAGGAAACAAGAGTTGAGGGGATGGGATATTAAATTTTATCTATTAGTTGGATGTCTGTTAAGAAATTAAAAATTTTGTTTATTGATGTTGAGTTGTTGCTTAGTTTGGATTGGAGGTCTTTGGGGATTTGGTGGAGGGTTCTTGTAGAGGTGTATAAAGGACAATCTATTGTGATAGTAGTTTTACAAAGTGGACATATAAGTTTAGGGGTTCTTTCAAGGAGGAAACTATGGGTGAGTCGGGAGTGGCATGCAAAATCATCTTATTTGGTATGAAGTGGAGTATTAAAAAGCCTATACCGTATCATTGAATCCCAAGAAACTATTCCGAGTCAACTGTTTGGATTTAGGTCCCTACACTCTAAAATCCATCAATAACATCGCGATGTTGTCATTTCGCCTTTGTGGATTAGAGTTGATGGGTTTTGGTTTGCGAGTCGGAGAACTCCTGTTGAACCGGCACAGGGTCACTTACTGGGGGTCTGTCCGCACTCATGGTTTATCATCTTGGTGGATTGTAGTTTATTCGGCGTGTCAACAGTCATGGGAAGAATTATTCTGTTCTTTTATTTATTTATTTTCATCATCGTAAATCAGCTAATTTGTTTAATTAACCTTTACTCACAATTTTAAAAATATCACATTCTGGGTTTTTCTTGTGTTACGACTTCACGGATGCGACAAACATCGAGTCCTTCTAATTTGTTATGCTCTTTTTCTGTCATCGTTTTTTTTTTTTTTTTTTTTTATTTGGGCGAAAAACCGGTCGCGCCGACGTGTTCTGTGGTCGCACACCTTTCTTTTCCCCGGATTTATTTATGGGTCGGGTATTGTTCCTGACCCCTGCGTGCTGAAGTGATATATAACTGAGAAAAATAATCCTTCCCTGTGTTTTCAGGCGATCTTTGATCTTTTTTTACCTTGTTAAGCAACACATCTAGCTCACGTATATTATAATTTTAAGGTTTTCTCCTTGTTCTTGTTCAAAATGGGTTTCGGTTGTGAAGAAAAATTACAAAATCAATTAACAGCGAGCGGTTGTAAACACACGTCTTTGACATGTGTAACTTGAAGTTTTAATGGTAGCATTTGCTGGTTCTTACGTAAGCGCCTTAAGATCAGCCTTCCGATGACTGATGGCATATCTTTGCGAAGACGTGCCCCGAGCTTATAGACGAGAAATTAGTTTGATGGTTTGCCGAAGATTGCACAATCTGTAGTCTTTTTTCAATTATTGACGTTACATTCTCCTTTCGAAAAGAACTGCTAGCCTTTTTAAGTTGCGTCAATCCTACAATTTCAGCAATAAGCCAGTTATCAAAGCCACTATCGATCCTGTGAAGTCCTACGTTAATATGAAACCAGGCCAAATAAGATGATTTTGCATTCCATTTTAATCTTCTGGATTGCTTACATTGCAAATTTTGTTAATTTTCTTCAAGTTAATAACATTTGTATCTCATCTTGAAGAAAAAAAGGCCAGGGTAAAATTGTTAAAAATCAGGTCAAATTTTATAGCTAGCATAGATTGTCTTTTTACTGTCAAAATTCAAGTATTAAGATCAGTTTTTTCGCTCATTGGTCTTTTATGGTGCGTACTGCATACTTCTGCTTACTTGCCTTGACACTAGCCCTAACTTAACGTAAAATATAAAATCCCCTGTACTTCGAAACCGCCCACAAAAGACCTCGTTTTTAAATCCATTACAGTTCGTGGTCCGATAAACCAATTAACTTTTTTCAATTAATTAATCTGTTATGAAAGGTATTGGTTGAGATAAAAAAGTCAGTGTCACGAGCGGGATTCGAATTCACGATCTTCGGCTAAATACGCCTCTGCTCTACCACTTGAGCTATCGTGACTTCGATCCGCTCAGACACTTCCCATCTCAACCTCACCTCTCGAATTTTTGAAAAATGGCAAAAAGGAGGGAAAATTCGAGAGGTGAAGTTAAGATGGGAACGGAATGTCCAAACGGATCGAAGTCACGATAGCTCAAGTGGTAGAGCAGTGGCGTATTTAGCCGACGATCGTGGGTTCGAATCCCGCTCGTGTGAATGACTTTTTTATCTCGTTTTTAAACTTTTCTTAACCATCAAAACCATTATAACTTTACTTATTAAAACACTAAAACTTCACCATTATATACAACTTCATCCTTAGAGCCACTCCCTTTATTCCTCGGGGCAGTAATATTTTACAATTATTATAATTAATTCTACTTTCAATCTAAGGTCTTGGTTGAGATGAAAAAGCAAGTCACTTGAGCGGATTCGAACCCACTACCTTCGGCTACATGTGTTCGAATCCCGTTCGTGACGATTGCTTTTTCATCTCAACCAAGACCTTGATTTAATTTATTAAAAGTATAATAAATTAAAATAATTAACACAGTCAATTATAACTACTAAATAAATATACGGAGTAAATAAAATTTTATATATATATAATACAATAGTACATAATAATAAATAATAATATAATAATAATCCCTCATTCTCTAGATCCTCTTTTATTTTTTCCTCTAGGCCTAATCATGAAATCTAAATCACATTGTCACATTGAAATAAATTGTGATAAAATTTCTAAAATAAATATATAAAAGTAATAGTATAATAAAAAAAATGAAATGCCTTAAAAACAATCAAATCTGATTATCTTCAACCTTTCTTTAAAATAACTGAAATAAATTAAGTTATTAGTCAAATATTGTTAATAATAATCAGAAAAAATTCCCTGAACAAAAAATTGTGGCCATATATCGACCACTTCATTATAAATATGGCAATCAATAATTACAAATAAACCTTCAATTCAAGTTATCTTGACCCTAAATAATACGAATCAGCAAAAAAATAAAGATGCAATAATTGGACCTCATAAAGAATTATTATTATAACAGCTTCCTTCTTCCAGTTAATAAGGAAAAAAGTTTATCTCAATACTTCAAGAAGGGCAACGAGAAAAGAATCCAATGTCGTTTTCCAGTTTGTGCGATAAAAAGTTTCACCTTGACATCCCTTGGAAGCGGATTTGCTGAAAATGCTGGAAAAACTACCAACAGCTTGCAACAATAAGCGAGCTTTTGTTTATTTATAAACATTACAATTGGACTATAAAGAAAAGTCCAAAATTATTAAGTGTTGAAAAATATCTATTAAATTAGAGATAACTTTTTGCATGAATTGAAAAATTGTGAATCATTAAAATTTACACTAATTAGATTATATCAACAAAATATAACTCTTTAGAGATAGAAGCTCAACACTATCATATATGCATGCAAAAAAAAAAATAAAATAAAATAAATAAACCTACATGTAAAAATTTTTAATACTTACCCTTGATAGTGTTAAATACTGGAGTGCTGAACATGTTTTTTTTTTTTAACAACCCCGGCACTGCCGACCTTTTTTAATTTGAACTCATGTATACAATCAGGCTACAATGACAAAACGAGGAAGACGAACATTCCGTAAAATCGTTAAGACGCGTTGGACTGCCGATGTCTGGAACGCGTGCGGAACTGCTATTATTAATATCATTTAAGAGTCCTGATTAAACCCTTCCACTGAATATGGTTTATCACTACCACGGATCCTAGATTTAAAAAAATGGAGAAAGAGAAAAAAAAAGAAGAATCTCTTGGATCTCTTTTAATGTAGCAGCCAATTAATAATTTCTCAGTTTCAAAACAATATTTTCCCAACTTAATTGAGAAAGCATGCTTTTTTTTAAATTTTGTGTGAAATTTATGCCAGACTGATGATGTATGACATGATATAGATATATGCATATATATGATAGATGTATTAGTTAACATAATTACTAACAACAAAATATACACATACACTAAAACATTTTGGTGGTCAACATTTTTTAAATGTCATAATAATAGGTAATTGAGTATCAAATTTATTTTTTCCAATGAGATGTACCAAAAGTAAATACTTTTTCAAAAAATATATTTTTTAACAATAAAAATTACCCCAAGATCAATTACATTGGTTGCATATTTTCAGAGATACTTTAATTCAAAAATTGACAGACATGAGATTTCATACTTTCTGTCTTGTTTTATGGTCTGTTGGCATTGTTAAATTAAACTTAATTTTGACTCAGTCCAAAGAATATTGGATAGTAAATGGAGAATTTACCCCATTGTTTTCAAAAATCCTATGTTCTTCGATTATTTCTTTACATTTACATTAATTATTTAATTACTTTTTTACTTGAATTATTTCTTCATTTTTTGTGCTGTTCTTTTTTTATCTCATTGTTTGATGAAGACTTTTTATTACTATGTATTCAAAATTATTTTCTTTCAGCTGATAGCAGAGGTAGTGCTGACTCAAAAGATGGAGGTGAAATCTAGAGTAAAGCCAGGCTGCCCACTGAGTCTGCTTCTGTTCTCCTTATACAGACTTGGTCTCTCTGACTTAGAGAAAGAGTTGTAATGTCGAGTCCAGTTGGAGACAACAAACATTTAATTACTAATATATCTATCTATGATACTCGAGAATAATTTTTGTTGCTTCTTCTTAGAAGTATCAGGTCATTGACTGTAGCTGCTACAATTTCATTCCCTAGATTTTTTTCGTATGTTAGGTTAAACCTCCATTGAGCTGTTGCTTTGCATTCAAAGAAAAGGATGGCTGTTTCCTCCTCATTACATAATCTGCAGATGGGATCATCTTTGTATATGCCCATGTTGTGTAGATGTTTTCCCAGATGCCAGTGGCCAGTTAGTATTCTATATTTCTTTTTGTTATCCCAAGTATAGGTTCGGGGCCTATGAATGATCTTGCAGATCATCCTCTGGCCAGTCTGTCTGCTTTCTCGATACCCAAAATTCCTCTAAGCCCTGGTAACCAAGATATCATCAGGTTGTTGTGTTTCCCCAGGTTTTGGAGATTTTGAATGCATTCACTGACTAATTTTGATGTGATTTTTTTACATGCTAATTCTTTAATGGCTGCTTGGCTATCAGATCTTATAAGGATTTTCTTGCCAGTGTAACGTACATCTTTTAAGATTTTCCAGAGCACAAGAGGGTTAATGTTTAGAAGAATTAAATGTTTAAAAAAATTGATTTGTTAACATAACACTGTTTAAAAGTTTTGATCTAACCTCCTCACACAACAGGAGAATCGATTTATCTGGTTTTGCACAAATATTTAATTATTATTTACTCAGTGGGAAAAAAGAATAAAATGAAAGTTGGTTGTGTATCTAAATTAAAACAAGGATATAAAAAATATAAAAACATTTATTTATTTCAAATAATATAATATTGATTATTTATTTTTGAGAGTCAGAATCTCTGTCATTTCTCCGATTGTAACTTCTCTCCAAACCTGGAATAAAAGAACACCGAAGAAGGATTTATTAGTTATTTGAATAGTAGCAACTGGGAAAATTTAGTCAGTTACGTGCTGTAATTAGATAATTACAGAAAAAATTTAAATTTAAGAATTAAACTAAAGTTAAGTTAAAAGTTAGGAATGTATATTTTTATTTGGAATATTTTTATCATTATTAAAATACAAATACACTACCCATCAAAGCCGACCACCTGGGTTGTGCACGAAAAATGGCCAACATTTCAAAGTGGCTATTTTCTGTTTTTTTTTTGTTTTTTTTACCACAATAAACCTATCGTTTCAATACATTATTCGAAGCAAAACTGCCACAACACCTCTGAAATAGGAAGAAAAAGTTGAATTTCCGTGATGAAGTAAACAAGTGATTATCGAAGCATTCCGCACCCTAAAAGGTCAAAGTAAGAATTGTCACTTCCTGTAATATGCTTTGTTCCATGTTACTTTTTTTTTTTAAGTCCTCGGAACAAAAGTTGTAGAGTGTAAAATTTGCAAAAACATAACTGTTCAAAATTTCTTGAAAATCGGGAGATAGAGTGATTGGTTTTTTCCATGAGCATGTAAAAACCATGTTTTTTGTCCAAAAATCATGAATAGCTCAAAAAGCTGTTCAGAAATCGGGAAAGTGGAAGGTGACCAATAGAAAGCTTATTAAAATTTCCTATCAATTAGGACGCCTCTCCAAAGTTGATTTCCTGGCTCCACAGCTCAATTTGAAGTTTTCATAAATAGCGCAAAAATTAATATGTTCCATGAATGACTGAAGCTAGGAAAATATTTTTCAAAAAATCTTCAGGCTAAAATTTTTTGAAAAATGAGATCTAGCACAGGTCTGTGACAAAAGGCTGAGAAAATATGCACTGCCAAAATTGGTTATTTTTTGCACAATTTTTTTTTGGGGGGGGGGCAGTGTAGTTTGAAAGTTAGTAGTTAGACATTCACTCAAAAATTAAAGGATTAATAATATATGCTTAAAAATTTAGATTGTACTTACTCATTATTTTGCTTTGAATCTATTTGCTTAATTATTCAACAGCATGAATCAATCCCAAGACGGAAGAATGCCAAGCAGTATAAACCGAACGAGAAAGAGATGAATATCCAACAGAAGGCAATCCAGAATCATAATCATATTTTAGTTTAATAAATTATGACAACATTGTTACCGAGTGGGTTTTTCTTTCTTCCTTGTATCCCACGGAAAGAGCAGCCTTTATATATACTTATTGGTCATTTCCTAGAATTAAAAATATATATAAATTTGGGTTTTAAGAACACAAGTTTTACATATAAAGTGAGGAAAAAAATAGCAGCACTACAGAAATAGTATATTGATTTAGAATAAAATAATCTGAATTAATAACCAGTCCAAGGTGTAGTCCTTAATTCAGTATAAATTATTTGAAATTATGAAATTAATTGAAATCAGCTGTTTCAAAAATAATTAAAAAATCATAAATCAGAAAGAATGTAAAAAAGAAAATCAAAGCACATTAATCATAAACGGTCAACATGTCACCATTTATGGAAATATTCAGTCAGCTTGTTAAAACAAATAAAAATAATAATAATAATAATAATAATATAAATTGAGTAAATTAAACAGAAATATTTTGATCCTATAGTTCCCACAAAAACAAATATCTGAAAATAAAGGATGTTTTTTTCATTCTACAAAATTTTCTGTAATGTTCAAGACAAAATAAAGTTGACGATTGAATCTGGGACATCACTGAATGCCAGAAGATTCACTGAGGAAAACAACATATTTCTCTATCGGTGAAACCAAAACGTGAATAGAATATTTGAAATAAAAATATTAAGACATCCCTCCAATAAAAAGTGCTTCATACAATTAAGACAGAAAATTTATTTGAAAAAAACAACTTTCAACATGATCAATAGTTCTATCTATTAGAAAAGGAAAAATCGCTTAAAATTTTCTCTTTCTATATGTGATTCAATCTCGCTTTAAGATTCTCAAATTGAGGGGGATGAGAATTTATTGGATAACATGCAAATTGACAAATGTTTTACGTTTAGATATCGACCGGCAAACAATGCTCAGCGATTATAACAATGATCAAAAGTTTGGCTCCCCATTAGCAATAAATAAAAAGACATCGTGAAAGTTACTGATACCCAAGTTTATTTAAGATGTATTTTAGAGCTATGAATACATTAAAGACTTACCGTGACACCAGTTTGACCAGCGCCCAATGAAACCGACAACCACTTTCTTCAATCCAATAAGACATCAATGTACGCAATCTTTTCCACCTTCAGAATGTGAACAACAATAGCCACAAATTGAAAGCATTTTTCCTTGACATAATGGACAAAATTATGACATTTTTAAAATTATTATTTGAAGAACGACATTAGACAATTAGGATAAAAACATAATATACATCTGACCCCTGTTCACTCAAACTCTGCTCATTTTGAAAGGTTATTTGACCACTTAACTCCACCAGCTTCCCAAGAAGATATTTCTTGGAAGAACTTATCAGACATGAAAATCAGTTCTGGTCTTTTAAAATTGCTAGAAAAACAGACATCATTGTATTAAGCATTTGGTAAAAGAAAGATTGCAATGATCGATTTCCGTTATTCAAAGAATCCTAACAATTGAAAATACTTACAGAGACCAAAAGCAAGTTGCCTTCATAAACGTAAATTTCACCATTAATTGAAGCTGTTTTAATAGAGGATGCACTTCAACATTAAAATATGGGAAAAGTTTATTAATTATTGAATCATCTCAAAAAAATTACAAACTTATGTCAATAAAGCAGGAAACAAAATACCATTTCTATTATTCCAAATAGTCATTGTATAAACTTCCAATTAAGACATTTTTTTGGAAAAGAACAAACAAAATTGATTGTAAAGTGGAAAAATTGCCATGATTTATAAGCTTAACCATACTGTTATCAGGTACAAATATGTACCTTTAAACTGAAAAAACTCGAACTTGAAAATAAATCTTCATGGTTTGATTTGATGACATCTAGTTGATTTCTTCTTAGTTTCTTGCAAAAATGAGTTCTTCTAGACCTCTATGAATTTTCAAATGATGATAAACTGCAAAATTGAAATTTGCAGCTCTGACGCACTCCTCAGTAAATTTAATAAGTTAGACAATGCATAATAAACTGGAGTTAAAACACTTCGCATCCACAAAAGTCAATTTACAAATCAATTTTAATCCAATCGACACTTCACTTCATCGTAAAATATATTTTCCTCTAGACACTGGAATTCAAACTTTTCACATTCAAAATTAAAATTTATGCATGCTTTATTTGTAAAAAAAACTATGTAGGAGAAATCAGGAAAATAATCAAACCAAGCAGATTAACTGCAGCAAAGCTGATTTTCTTTAATAACACCGTCAGCGTCTACAGCTCAGAATGAAGGCTGAACTTTTTTATTAAAAAAATTGCTTATCGGAAGAACTTTGCACAAGTTGTAAAAGTATATTACTAAATAATTAAACCACAATGTTTAAATTTTAATTAAAAATAAAAATCTCTTTTTATCAGCTTTTTATATTTCTTGTGAATGAAATACACTTCGTCTCAGGTATTGAATCTATCAGAAACAAGTTGGACGACTGAGAAAAAAATAATAACTGCCTAAATTTGTTTTGGACACTTCGAAGAAATCGCTTTCAAAATAACACAGATTGTTGCCAATTCCTCAAGAACCCATGAAAATATTTAATTAACAAAATAAATTATAAACGACTAAAGAAATGTTTTTGTTCTTTACAATTAAGCACTTATTCAATATAAGGACAAGGACAAGTGTTTTATTAAACATTTTCATCAATGTTTATTTAATTGAGTATTGTAACTGTAACTGTTGACACTTTCGGTGTCTTTAAACCATTTTTTTAATTTTCAGGATGAAAAAAATCCAATTCACCACAGAAATGCCTAATATTAGAGGAAAAACGGAAAACCTATTTTTAAGTGTTGAAAAACATGGGTTTTTTGTCATCCTTACCATCACAATCCTCCAGTTAAAAATAAGTTCTGTTGTTTTTCCAAAGTAAATTTGTACCACAGAAGTACCCTAAACTTGGTAAACCACTGTTAAAATGCCTCATTAAGAATCAAGAAAGAAAATATATCATACCTGAACCACTGGACAAAACAAAGTACACTCTGAAAATCTAACAATTCTCAACATTGAAAACATTACCTGCATTAAAAAAAATAATAATAATTTTAAAAAAATACAAAAAAAATAAAAACGATTTTCACAAGTTGATCTGGCCAAAATTAAAGAGCAGAATGGGACACTTTCAACATGAAGTTAGATCGTTGTGTAGCTTGACATTTTTTTCAACGTGATACTGGCCATTTTTGGTCAATTCACAAATTTTGACAGCATAATAGAAGTATCAAACTCGCCTCCCAGTAAGTGGTACCCATATCAGAACTGTGATCATTGTATGTTCTCTTATATAAAATAAGTTATGTGAAACTTCCCTATAACGGACATTCTTGGCAAATAAAATATTGTCTGCTATTCAAACTGCTTTTTGGGACGAGTGAAATTTTTTTTAGTATTACAAGATGGGCTACAATGGAGATTGCAATAAATAAACACTTTTGAAACAGCGAGGATTTTTTGCTTTTTCTCTGACCAGAGTATTTTTCAAATTTTCTGAGCATATTTGAAACTTTTGCTCTTTGACAACGCTCAATTTTGAACAGCATCATTTTACCACAAGTGCTCTAAAAAAATAAGGGTGTCTCATTCAAATTAAAAATGTTTTTTGGGTTCAAAGTCTGTGTAATATTGTTTAAGTTTTTCCAACATTTTGTACAACCTTGGTCCTTCCTTTTCACAAATGGTCTTAAAGAAATCTTACGCCATGTTCCTAAATTTTCTCGAGCCAACCTAAAGATTCTATAAAATCCATTTTGCCCTAACGGTTTTGTAATTTCTAAGCCCTTTTCTCTGATAAGTACCAGACAGTGGTATTTTACACGCCAAGCAAAGCAAAAACTTTTAAAAATGTCTTGGTCTGACATTTTAGGAATTTGGCCATTTCCGAGCTTGTAAAATTATTTTAAAGTTCTATTTTGTTTTTTTAGAATTTCATTTGCCTGTCTTTTCGATGGACTCTTAGTTTTTCACTTTCATTATATTTATTTTTTCTTTAAGTATCAAATGTACTGAAGTACTTAAACTTGTTTATAAAATCTAGGAATGTTGCCGAACAAAACAAAGGAAACGGAGTTTCTCAGAAAACCGTTCATTTTCTAGAGGCTTCTGTCATATTTTGGGAGAATTTTAGCCAGGATACAGTCAAAAAAAGCTGTCCGCATCTGTTATTGGGAGTGTCTGCTTTATAATTTAAAGTGAAAAAACTAATGGGATGACGCCAGGGGATCAGAATTTGTCCAGTCAAGGGAGGTGTCTGCTAATTTTCCCTGTAAAGTGAGGAATGTGTTTTTTATCAAAAGAAGTTAAAAACAACGGAATATTTTGAAAAGACAAGACAATATAGAAGAAACCACACTTAAGAGAAAAATAGCTGAACTAGCTCTTTTCAGACACAACCATAATGAAATTGGCAATTATTTTCAATAAATAATTCAGGTAATAAAATAATCAAATTCCATACTCCAAGTAGTCTGCTGTATGCTGCATGAAGAACTGGACATATCTGAAATATCAGATAAAGCAAAGAAACAGCCTCCTTTCACTAGAAAGCATTTCCTTTATACATATTACATACATATTATTAAGAAAAGTGAAATATTACTTAGATCGTTATAACTGCCACACAAAGTTGACCTTTTAAATGTAAGTGCTTTCGAGGAAAGGTGAGAGGATTTCACAAGGTCCAATGTGAGTTATAGTCACACTCATCAAAAGATTAATACTAAATAAAACCAATTGACAAAGTTTCACTTATACTTTATTATAATTGATACTACTTTTACAGTTTACATATTAAGGGCAATTCACAAAAATCAGTAAGAGCGAAAGAGATGATGGGAGTAGCCAGAATACAAACATGACAAAAACGTCTTCCTCTTCCACACTTGAATCGTAAATATACTAATTTTGACATAAAAAGTTGAAAACAAACTATTCTCCAAAAATCAACCAAATTGAATCCAACATCGTCAACACAATGAAGTATGCATAGAAAAAGAAAATATCATCCACAATTTATTAAGAATGCCTAGGATCGCATAACATATATCCCAAATATGGTTACATAAACATTAAATTTAAGAGATTGTTTAAAATTGGAAACCCAGTCAACAGGAATATAAAAAAAAAATATTAAAAGAAGTTTAAAATACGCAAAAATTTTCTCCTTAATCTAAATGAAAACCAACCAAGATAATAAGAAAAGTCCTTGAATGATTTATTTCCTTACAATAAAAACTAATCCACTAGTACAATGAGAATGAAAAGTTAATGAAGATTATTGAAAATTACATTATTATTCCATTAATAACGACTGTTGGGTACTAATATTACTCACAGTCGGCTGCTTCAGAAAAAGCGAACTTCAATAATTCTTCCATCAACTCTCATTCCATCAAGCATATCTGTTCAAAATCATTAAGGAAAATAATAGAAGTATTATTAATATTTTAAATTTAAAAATGGTGTAAATCGGTTTTAAAGGATACTGATCCCCCTCTGGGCAACCCATTGGTTGGTAAACTGGACAATCCCCGTTTCCTTCCCCCTCATTTCAGCGAATTTCACGTCCCCTACGTCTCTGCATTTCTCCATCAGGATTTTCCCTGTAGTACCGGGAGGGAGCTGTAACAGAAGTTAAATCAATAAAGAAATTATTTATAAATGTTAAATTGATAAAAGACCAAAAGGCGGAAATACACTGGCTCCATTTGACCAATTCCACATCAACATTTTATTTCCTGTTGTGAGTTTTGACAGTGTCAATATTATTTTAAACCACGGCAGCCAAGTGGTCAACGTGATACTCTTGGCTATAGTCCCCCCCAGGGAGAAAAAGAAAGAAAGAGAAAGAAAAAAAAACCATACCATATCACTGAGTTCCTTGGCTAATATGCAAAGTTCATAAGGCCATAAAATAAAAAATAAAGGGTATCAACACTGTGCCGAACAGGCTGACAATCAACATGTCAAATTTACAAACATAAAAAAATTCATTTAAAATATTGTGTATAGATGATTAAACTTGTTATAAATGGTACACCACAATAATGTACTTGTCCTATAAAAATAAAATGGATAATATTATAAGACAACATCGACAGGTGCATAATTAAAAATATCAAGTTAAAAAACAAACTTAATAGCCTCACAAGACCTTAAAATAAAAATATTTTAAGATCTATTTCAATTTTACTTATTTAAACAAAAAACATTAATGAAAATTTAGCTGAATAATGATTGAAAACCAATCAAAATTAGCTAAGTAAAGAGCAACAATTTTTATTTTTTCTTTCTTGCAAATGTCGGCTTTAGTCTGTTTTTATTCTTACGTTGGAAATAATAATGGTGTCGGATTGCCACCCACCGCCGATTGAGCCTGTGTTTCCTCCCAGGTTCCTGTTGTCCCTTTGTGCAGCAAGACCTCCGGACGACCCTCCTTGGTTGAACCCGGAACCTCCAGTAAGAGCGGCTCCGAGCGAATCAAAATCTCTGCCACCACCTGAGTTTCCACCGAATGGATTGATGTTTCCAGCACCTGGAAAAAAAAAAATAAAAAACCCATCCATTACCACTCAATTCGAATGATTTTAAATGCCTAATGAAAATACAAAAAAAAAAAAAAATACCTGATGCAGCAGTACCTAAGAGTTGTGCAGCGAGAGGATTGGCACCACCTGTAAGAGCAGCTGCGGTGTTAAGACCAAGGGAATTTGCTGCGAGAGAAGTGATGTCCCCACTTCCACCACCCTGAGCTCCAATAAGGTTTCCGACTAAATAAAAATTAAGAAATAAATTGTATGAATTATGTTTTATTGTATCGGCTATTTATAATAAAACTACAAACTAACAAGGTTTTATCTCAAGTTTTACATTTTTTTAACGGCCTTGTGACATATATTAGCCACAGGAGACTTGATTGATACAGGAAAAATCTCAATATTTCATATCCTGATAAATTGTTAGAAAGAGCTGGTCCCTTGAAAAATTTCGTTAAATGTATAAAACCAATGCATTTCAGCCCTTTCGGTGATGCATATTTTTACCCCACATTCAAGATCGACAAAACATCTTATAATTCGCATTTTAGTAATGAAATCCCGATTAAACATATGAATAGAGTAAGGTATAAGGATGGACTGTGCTTTGTCACGGATACCACAGGTCTATTGTACCAGTGGTCGGTGTTTCCAGGATTATGTTTTTGTTACACCCGATGCCACTGACTAGATAAACCTCATTGCTCACTGCAATGAATATTGCTGATGAAGTATGGAAAAAGGTAATGGCAACCACAATAAAAAAAAATGCTTCAAAACTTGGCCGAGGCTGGCCATGGAACTGGAAAATGAAATCCAAGCCCCCATTGGATGGTATCTCTTGTCACAAAATGAAGAAAATATCAACAATTTTCAGAACTTTGTTCAGGTTGTTGCTTAAAGAAGATTAAATTTTAACTGAAAACAAATGATGTGGATGGTGAAGATGAAAAACCAGAGGAAGAAGTTCCGAGAATCAGCCCTACAGAGGCCAAGAAATTGATCACAAAAACTATTTACTCACATATATGCACAATACAATTGAAAAAATTAAAACTTTCGATAAAATGTATTTTTCATTCTTCACCTTTGATATACCATAATCTCGATCGTGAGCATGTCGATATATTGTACTTATCCTTCCTGAAGATACAATATAAGATTTAATTGTATATGCGTATTTTTTGGAGGAAGGGTAGCCTGGAAAAAAGCCCAGGGAATTAGCGGACCACAGGGTAACCACTAGGCTACTGTTGAATAGTGGAAAAATGCCACATAGGAGGTGATCCATCCATCAAGGAAATAAATGATCAAGCCTCTCCTCAGAGATAGAAGACCATGCAGAAAGGTGGCCTCCCTCTTCCGCAGATATGCCTTCAGCCTCATCCCCAGCTGAGCCTACCATCCCCACACAGATGCGGTATACTAGTTAGTAGGGGGTGATGTGTAGTGTATGTGCAAGTAATTCTGTTATAAAACTGATGAATAAGTAATGTGCTATTTTTATTTAATTTATTTAAATTCATACAAATATTACGTTTATTATATTTTTTGGGTTTGAATCCAGCGGCCCTGAATGTGAACCCAACCTTAATATCTCTTTTAAGTATTCTTGTTAATATCTTTGACTCTATATCCAATTGCTATCTATTGTGTTTTATTGAACAGTAATTTAAAAAAAAAAAAAAGCCTTAAATTAAATATGCACATTTATGCTTTATACTTTTTGTAATATTTACCTAATGCTGCAGCTGCTAAAGCAGGATTGTTAACTGCAGATAAAGCTGGGACTGGAGGTGGCATTGAAGAAGGTTGTGAGTTTGGTAAATTCCCTATAAATAAAGTCAATTAAGTACATACATTATATATACAACAAATCAATTAACAGTTATAATTGGCCACAATAGACAAATAAGACACTGAAATATTTATCCATTATAAACAGGAAAAATGCTGACAGTACCAAATCCTAACTAATAACGGTTATTAAATGCCAACTTAATTTTAAATTTTACATCATACTACTACATATTCAGTTCTTAAATGACCTTCAAATAAGCAGTATTTATGTAGGCAATATCTAATTGAAAAGAAAAGTGCCTCATAAAAATTTCAGTCATAAAATACACAAAAACAACCATTTTTTTATAATATAACACAACAGATTGGTAATCTAATTGCCTCGAAAGAGAGATAAAGAAGAAATTATGACAAATACTGTTTGCTAGGCATTTAAAGGAGGGGGGTCACCAATTTTAGCATTAAACTTTTTTATTAAACTAGAACTTTTCCTGCATCATTAGGAGTAAAAGATTTGCAATTTTGGACACCGGAAGTGCTCAAAATAATTTTTGAAAATTTTGGCCAAATTTTGTTAACTAATTTTTTTAAATGGAATTAGTTTTTTCTGTATTGCTTGGTGTAAAAAAGATTTGCTATTTTGAACATTGGAAGTGTTAAAAAATTGAAAATGTTGACCAAAAATTTTCATTAATTTTTTTTTTTAATAATAAACTAGGTTATGATTTTTCATTTGGTATAAATGATTGGCAATTTTAAATTTAAAAAATCCAAGAATTGGCTGACCCCTGAACAACTTGATTGTTATTACAGTGTAAATAATAGAAAATTTGATTTTAAAAAAAGTTTGATATATAGATAGTACTAAAGCCCATTACTATAAATTAGTGTATAACATAAATTAATTAATGTTTTTACGATATCAAATATTTTTTAGAATAAAAATGCCAACTTACTTGCAACATCTTGTAAGGGGACGCCATTAGCACCAAGGCCCATTCCAATGCCCTTCAACCCTTCTGGCAGTTTAGGAGGCAATCCATCATTTTTATCAACTCGGTCCATTCTGACTGACAGTCGTCTCTCATAAAGCATTTGATTGTTAAGCATTGAAATTGCCTGCACCGCTTCAACTGGGTGTTCATATTCGACCACACCAAATCCACGACTCTTTCCTTCTTTGTCCAAACTTATTTCGGCGCTGATCACTCTACCGGCGAGTCGGAATACTTCTTTAAGTTTTTTGTCATCGACTTTGTAATCCAACTGAAAAATAATTTATTTGTATAATTCATTGATTGTATGATTCATGATATATAAGCGCTGATTATATGTAAACAGCTTACATTGGCTACAAAGCATCGAGGTACAAGGGGCCCATTAATATTAAGGGATTCCAAGAACTGTGAACTTAATCCATATGTATTGCCCCATTTACTGTTAGAGCCAGGAGGACCGTTCACCAAAGATGGGATGTCATTCCAGTTTCCTCCACCTCCTCGTTCCATATCACGACGTCCACCTCTATCACCACCCCTTGGGATGATCCGTCCATATTTATCTCTATCACTGTCATCCTTAATAAAATATTCAAAAATGTATTATACGATACATCGCACAAAAACATATTTTTAGAAAAATGGGACTATATCAAAGACAGTATTTATATTGATTTTTTTAAAGTACCTCTTTAACAACAAGTTTTCTTCCTTTTAAGTCGTATCTATGCATTTTTTCAACAGCTTCTTTTGCCATTTCACTTGAAGCAAATTCAATTATGCCAACACCCCTTGCTTTATCATTTTCATCGACAAAAAGTTCGACAAATGAAACTTCTCCAACTAAAAATCACGAAATATTCATCATACAAGACAGAAATAAAAATAGTTACCACCAGTAAATATTCAATGTTTAACTGTAAAATACCTTGTTCCCTAAACAGATCTTTTAGTTCTTGCCAGCGGTATTCATACGGTATGTTTGAAACCAAAACTCGATTTCCTCGTTTTTTCCCACGAGGACTGCGGTCTCGATCTCCACCACCAGAAAACCGACTCTGCCTTTCCCTTCGTCCTCTCCTGTCTCGATCCCTTTCTTCATCACCTCTGTCCATACCTCCTCCACTAATAAACAATCATGAATGAGTAAACCAATAATCTAAATAATTAAAAAATCATACGTTAGAGAAAAAAAATTCTTAATGTTTATGAATCACAACTTTTGTATTGGGCTGAAAATTAGTGAGCCCTGTGATCATCACTGATTAACCTGATCTTATTTAAATGTACATACTCATATATTGCAGATAAAAACTGCCTAAGGTAATAAAAGCTACCAGATTGTTGATAAGTTTAGAACCTATTGTGGACAAGGCACAATATTTAATTTCAAGAGTTCAAATATAAAATTTGAAAAGAACTCCAAACTTTTAATAATTAAGTCAAAAGTTTGAAAATTGGCCAAAAATCGTGGAACCAGTGCGTAAGAGGTGGTGTTGGTCTTACTTTACATAGAATATAATTTCCTACGTTTGTTTTGAAGAGTTTAACACTGATAACTTTAAAAAACGTTTAAACGTTTAAAAAACTTTTTTTTCTCAAAAAAAGTTATATAAAAAATGCATATCTCAGCAACGGATTAAGATAAAAGCGTGTGGTTGGTCTCATTCTACTCAAAATTTAATGATCGAATAGGTTTTATTCAATATGTATTTTGAGACACTGAGCCATTTGGGAGTAATTCTTGAAAAAGTTTTTAAAAAACACTATTTTTAGAGGTTTGTGTGTTTTTCTCATAGAAAGCTGAGGACCTATGTTCAGAATTTTTTTTTGTTCAAGATGAAATTTCTTATAAATCCTCAAAATATCTTCGTTTAGTTTGGGCCCATCCTGTATATAAAGATTTCATAATAAATTGAAGCAACAAATTTAATGTGTTGAGTTTTAAGATGTGAACAGCGTGTTATTCAATTGTACCCGATCACCCTGTTCACAAGGCAAACCCATCACTGAAGATGGCAAACTTCTGGTAGGATTGGCAAAAACTGCTGTGGGTCTAAAAGGTGAAACAAGAGAAAAGGTAGGCCAGGATGAACAGAAACGGCCAAATTGTCCATTAATACTTTACATAACTTAATGCCATTTTCCTTGTTGCAACAACTGCCGTTTGTTATTCAATCTGTGAAAGTTATGTTACGGTCTAAGATGTGATCAGCTAATAGTTTATCATACCAGGTCACCCTTGGCAAGGCAAACCCTTGGCAAACATGGCAAAAAGCTGAAATATGTCTAACAGAGAAAACTAATGAAAAGGGCAGACCAGGATGAACAGAAACGACCAAACTTTCGATACTCGATGCAACTGAATTCTATTTTTCATTGTGTTGAGCTCCAAGATGTAATCAGTTTATACAATAATTCGATCGAACCAGTTCATCCTGTTCACAAGTGAAATCCTCCACTAGATGGAAAAATGTTGAAATGCAACTAAAATAAAGCAACCAGTAAAAAGGGTAAAACAGAATCAACAGAAACGATCAAATTTAAATACACGGAAAAAGTGTATTAAGTTGAAAAAATATTGTAGGCAATTTGGTCATTTCTGTTTTAGCAAATTTCCTCTTTTAAACTTAACCATATTACTCTACCCAACTTAATGCCATTTTCCCCAGTTAATACAACTGTCGCTTGTGATATTCAATCTGTGAAAATTATGTTGAGTTCTAAGATGTGATCAGCTTGTTGTTTGATTGTATCCAATCATATTGGACACAGTAAACCCACCGCTGAAGGTGGCAAAACGCTAAAATGTTTCTAAAGAAATCAACTTGCAAAAAGGGTAGACCAGGATAAACAGAAATGACCATATTTTTAAACAAGGAAAATTGCATTTAGTTGCAAAACATATTACAGGCAATTTTGTTGTTTCTTTTCATCCTCATCAGCTTTTTTAGCAAGTTTGCTCTTTTGAAGTTGGCTATAATACTCGACACAACTTAATACCATTTTTCCTAGTTAACACATCTGTTGCTTGTGGCATTCCATCAGTGAATATTATGTTGAGTTCTAAGATGTGATCAGTTTGTTATTTGATAATACCCGATCATCCTGGACACAGCAAACCCACTGCTGAAGATGGCAAAAGGCTTAAATCTATCTAAAGAAAGCAACTAGCAAAAAGGGTAGACCGGGATAAACAGAAATCACCAAATTTCAAACAAGGAAAAATTGTATTAAGTTGCAAAAAAATATTACAGGCAATTTGGTCGTTTCTGAAGTTTGATGGTGCCAAATCATCCTGTTCAAGGAAAATCCATCGCTGAAGATGGTAAATCACTACAATCTGACTAAAGAAAGCAACCTGTCAAAAGGTAAGACCAGGATAAACAGAAATGAAAAAAATTGTAAAAAGGAAAATTTGTATTTGGTTGCAAAAATATTACAGGACAAAAATTTTGTCATTTCTTTTCATCGTCTGCCTTTTTCTGTAAAGCCCCCCATACACCTACGAACAGCTTCAGCTGTGCGAACAATTGTATAGTGTATGGCCATCAGTTGCAGAAATTCAAAACAGTCTGAAATTAATTGCACGAGTGGCGTTGCGCAGCTGTCGCTTCATGTATGGGCTCTAACGACTTATTGGTGTTACCATTTCTAGTAATTCACCAAAAGTTATGGGGTCCATTCGCAAATAATTTTTATAGTCAAGTGGTGAACTTAACTGAAGCTCTTTGAGGAGATTTGCATGGTTAAAAACAGATCTTTTCTTTAGCCACTCTTTCATCCGGACTCTTTGCTTCCTTTTTCTTTTTTTAACACCAACATCGGTCGCAATAGAAATTATTATAGCTAAACAGGCTACATTGTGAGACATCATGTTACCATTAAAACAAAACAAAAGCAACTGGAGTTTGCAAAAAAACGCATATAGTGTATGGGGGACCTTGTTTGCACAACAGCCTGTTGTACAACATACGTTTGCACAATTTGATCGTAGGTGTATGCGGGGGTAAGTTTCCTCTGACCACAACTTAATAGCATTTTTCCTTGTCAGTACAACTGCCGTTTGATTGTATCCAATCATCGTGGGCACAGCAAATCTACCGCTGAAGATGGCAAATTGCTGAAATGTGTCTAAAAGAAGAAACTGGCAAAAAGGGCCAGGCAGGATGAAGAATCGATCAAACCATAGAAATTCATTTTGTCATATTAAACAGCTGGCAATTGTACATCAAGACAAGCTACAACATGCAAACATATTCCAATACATGTGAAATACTAAAGCTAAATTAGTATGCTGCGTAGTTTTATAGCATATTTATTAATGTCACTGAAATGAAAATAATATTGTTGCATAATGGATTAAAGAAAGTACTTTTTCACGGTTTTCACCCAGGCCTATAAGTAAATCTAATTGATTTTTAAATAACCCTAAAAAGCGGTCTTGTATAAAACGTTTAATAATTTTCTTTTTGTTATTAATTTTATGTACAGATATGTATGCTGTGGGTTTTATGATTCGTAACTAACCACATTAGGCCGTTTTGAAACATGAAAAACCAACCCAAAATATGAAACGCGGGGGCCGCCAATTATATTAATCCCATATTTTATGAAAGTTTTAGACAAAAAGCGAGTTTTATGAGAATAAAGAAAAAGCCGGATAGAAAAAAAAAACGGCTGGTAGTCAACAAACGCAGCGGCGCGTTAAATAAAAGAGCGACAATCGTGGTCGTCTACGAAGTCGGAGGGAACTCCGCAGCCCCCGACGCCGCGTCGTTATTACTAATATTATACATTTAATACTTACTTTTCATTAAAATTCTCCTTTTCCGTCTTCATCGTAAGCTGAGTAGAAAGAGTAGAAAAGTCCTAGCTCAGAAACTAATTCGACTAAAATTATTCAATCGTACACCGACAGACGCCAAACCGAAAAATGGCTGCCCCAACACAATGAAGAATGGACTTGACTCGATAGCGGTACGCGAAAAGGTCAACAGAAAACGGCAAAACGCGGAGTTGTTCCAGTTGGACCGGTGCCGGCACAATAAACGTCCGCTGCCACATCTGTCGGAAACTAACGACAAACAGTCTAATGGTGATTCCGTCACTTTTTAACTCAGAGAGATTGTAAGTGATTTCTTTATTTCCTTAAAAAACAGTAATTTTGAAAATAAAAAATTACATTATTTAAAAATAAAAAATACATAAACAAGAAAACTAGACTGCTCAAAAATGAATAGGGATACTGACAATTTTGTAGTATTTACACCCTAACATTTTTATTTTATTTTTATTATAAATTGCATTAAAATTTATTACAAATTATTCTGTTTTGTTAATTGGAGGAAAATTGAATTAAGGTATTTTGAAAAAATGACAAAATAATGCACGCCCTAACCACTTGGCTACCGCAAAATGATACTATACTAGAACAACTAAAAAGTACATTTTATTTCCTTTTTTTAATTTTACATTTTTCTTAAATAGCCAATAAGACTACTACCCATTTTGGCTAAAATTTTCGAAAAGCTTTTTTTGAGAAGAATTCTTCCAATTCTAAATTCTCAAAAATGAATAGGGATATTGCCAATTTTATAGTGGCATACTGTTATCAAGGATGTCACAAATTTCATTAGGAATTTCACTCCATAGATGTTGCAACGCTTCTAGTCAACTGGCTACGGATGGTGATCGAAAATCTTCAGCACCGCATCCCACATGTGCTCAATGGGATTGAGACCTGGGAACATGGGGGTTAGTAGCAGATGGGAAATTTCCAGGTTTCCTAAACGTTGATGAACAACTCTGCCTCTATTAGGTCTGGCATTGTCATCCAGAAATCGAAAATCCCTACTAATGATATCCCTGGCTTGAGGGATGTATTCCTCGATATTTATTGGAAGAAACGGACTGGGGTGAGGTTACTTTCAACAATATGGAGTCCAGTTCGTCCTCCAGGGTAAATCCCAGCCCAGCCTCCTCTAAACTGCACTGAAGGGAGCACGAATTTGGGCATTGTATGCATCCTGTTCTCGGTAGGCTCTTCGGCGCCTGTATTCAGACATAAACGCGACTCCTCAGTAAACATAACAGCATTCCAATTGCTGTTCTCTTCTAGGCGCTCGCTGCACCCTATTCTGCTTATTGCTGGTGTTGAGCTGTTTCTGCAGGCTGTCTCAATACGGTTTAAAATCCGGGGGAACAATGGAAGCGTTGCGATATCGCCTCGTCAGATTTTCCCTTATTCTCTGCAAATCTGTATTAATGGGGAAACTTTACTTCACTCGAGGGCAGCAGAAAAATCTTCGAGGAGTTAATCGCTCGAAAACCTGAGTTCTGATGGATTACAAAATTACATTTTAAAAACACACGTACACGCAAATATATAGTGAAAACAAACTATTCGTCTCAAACTTGTTTTCTGCTTATGCAAAGCATAAGTATAAAATATCGGCCAAAAGAAAAACCATCGTTTCTTTGGGAATACTAGTTATTTCAAAGAATATCAATTTGCCTAAAGGCTTTCAGTGTAATGATCGTAATAATGGGATTAATGCGGTCACTAAACGGTTTATTGGCTTTCATTAATGACTCGGAACTTCAAGTTTTATTTATTAAATCGCTACAGTAAGCTATAAAAATTGCTATTATGTGGTGGGTCATGAGATAAAGATTTATATTAGCTTCAACAAGGGTTAAGCAAAATAAGTTTTAATTGATATAATGCCTTAACTATATGCTTTTCACAGTTAATATAGCAATAGCATATCAATGTTAAAATTATGTTATTTTAGGATCTGTGGCAGAGGCCTGACTCATTGACGATAATTTGGCTGAGGTGCGTTTCTAAGCGATGGCTATACCACATGATTATTAAGAAGAACGATACAATGCTTCCATAGAATTTAACATGGAAGAGCGGAATACGTCCTTTTTGATAAGAGCTACAGTCTCCAGCTGTCTGGGGATACTCCTCGTATCGGTTTGGCCAGAGAAGGATATGCATATATAGCCGTGCACTTATACTTGGGACAATATTACAGAATCCTACATCTCTGGGTTAAAAAAAATGGAGTGGATGAACTCCAGAGGTTCCAGACACTATAAACTTATGATTAACGAACCCTCGTCCTAAAAGTCAGGGGAGTGATAGGACTATATACCTCAAACTGTAGGTGTGTCATAGGTCACTAGCATCTTAGAAAACACCTATACATCATAAATGAGGACTCATTTGTAGGTGCAATGAGGAGGAAGAAATTGCCTTATCTTCCAACGTAAAACAATCGCTCAATGGAGACGTAAGCTGGGATATCAAGAGACCCAGGAATAACAATTACAGTAATGACAATAATCTTCTACCTCTTAAGAGAAGGATCGCGCCAATTGTACTGACCTAAGGGACCACGAAAATTTACGTTAAGACTGCAGTGTTTGGGAAATAAACACCCCCGTTTCCCAGCCTTCCGTCACCATCTTCTCTATATCGGCATAACCTCTCCTGCCCCAGTTTTCATTTTTTTCTTTTCCTTTTTATTCTGAGTGGAGGGTTATTTGTTTCTACTAGATGAGCATTGGTATGAAATGTACAATTAGCCAGAAGGCTAGAGTCTGGGGAATATAAAACCCTCGCTTTCTAGTCTTCCATCATCACCATCATCCCTTTCTAGGCATTTGCCACTCGTTGCCCAGTTTTCATTTTTTTCTTTTTATTCCGAGTGGAGGGTTATTCGTTTCTACTAGATGAGCATTGGTAGGAAATGTACAATTAGCCAGACGGCTAGAGTCTGGGGAATATAAAATCCCCGCTTTCTAGTATTCCATCATTATCATCCCTATATCGGCATAACCTCTCCTGACCCAGTTTTCATTTATTTCTTTTTCTTTTTTTTCCGAATAAAGGGTTATTTGCTTCTACTAGATTAGCATTAGTAGGAAAAGTACAATTAGCCACAAGGCTAGTCTGGGGAATATAAAACCCCGCTTCCTAGCCTTCCGTCATCATCCCTTTCGAGGCATTTGCCGCCCCTTGCCCAGTTTTCATTTTTGATCAGTCGGGGTATGAGTGTGACCAAGAAAATATGAGTCCAGTATATGGTTAATTCCTGACAGTACCCTTGTCGATTTTAATTATCGTAGTGATAGAAGTTAGGACTTTTTTTTCGAATGCTCTCAGAATAACGTTATCCGAAGTGGAGTGTTTTGTTGCTCCAGAAACTTTTCGTCAATAGTTGATCGATGGGTGTTGCCATCATGGATATAATGGCGTTTTTCATCATTGTTCAAGAATCGTTTTTCCTTTTATACCGGGTGGATGGTTATTTGCTTCTACTAAAAGATCATGTTTAATTGTTGACTTCAAAGACTTAAACAGGGGTGGTTTATCCTTTGGATGTTTCTGCGCTTTTAATTTGAAAGAACGAACTTTCTTAGTCTAATCGGGCTAGTATGAGAGTTTGATGTAGTAGGATTGATTGTTGGAATAAATTAATTACTAAACGGTCTACTTCTAATTCCTTGTCCTCTTCGGACTTTCCAGTATTTGATAAGTTTAAAAACACCATCAGTCATCTCACGCCATTTATAAATTAGTTTGTATTGTTTCTATAATCGTATTATTTGTCCTATTTGTGTGATGGATGGGAGTTCCTGTTTGTAGTAGCAGATACGATCAGGGATGAGGCTATTTTTAAAAGAAACAAACAAATCTAGGAGGAATTTTCCATTAAAACAATTATTTTTGACGCCATTAACTCTACGTTCTCTCATATTGTTAATTGTGGCAAAATAATAACACAATTTGTTTAATAATCGTTGATTGAAACCAAATGATAAAGGTGCAAGTAACATATACAAATTTATTACGTTTATAAGCACAAATGTATTAAAAGGAAATAAATAAATACGAATACATATTTTTTAATCTAAAAGAGAATTATGTCTATTGTATTAACACAGGGCATGGTTATTTTAAAGATAATCATCGGTTATAATCTAATCATTAAACACATTAAAATACATTGTTAGGAAGTCCACTGGACATAATAATTAATAATGAAGGGGACTCACATCATGATGTTGAAAATGTTCTGTTAATAAAGAAAATTCTATGCTACAGTATATTGTTGAACAACTTATAGTACTAACAAATTAAATATTCTATTAAAAAAATATTGTTTAATATCATTCATTTATCTTCTGGTTCACTTAACGAACCAATCTGATGGCTTTTACATAAATTTTTTATTATTTATAATTAAATCCATTATATCTAGTGGTCTGATTGACCAAATTACTTCTTTCAATTATTTGAAATTTTTATGTAAGGTTTTGGTTGACATGAAAAAGTTAGTGTCACGAGCGGGATTCGAACCCACGACCTTCGGCTCAATACGGCGCTGCTCTAACCACTTGTTGTCACGATAGTGGTTAGAGCAGCGGCGTATTGAGCCAAAGGTTGTGGGTTCGAATCCCGCTCGTGACACTAACTTTTTCATGTCCACCAAAACCTTACATAAAAATGTTAATTTATAATTAAAGTTCGCATAAAAAATTGGTCAAATCAAATTTCGTACATTTCAATATTTGTAGAACCTTTGGGTTAATTATGTGCTCCTTTTTTATGTTTGACAGTTTCGTCGCAAATTTTGATCGGTTCATACATTGCACTGTTTTTTTCCTAATTGGTCAAGAAAAACGCACCATACATGGATGTAACGTACTAATACAACAATTATACAAACAAAATAAACAAATATCTTTAACAACAATTAATCTTTAAAAACAATTATATAAACAAATAGTCTCTGAGGTTCTTCTGCTAACAGCTGTTGTTCGGAAGTCGGCCATCCTCGTCCGCAGCCCGATGACAGGATAATTAGGGGTGCTGCGTGTCTTTCGTAAAGTGGGCGTTCTATGACGAGATGAAAGGACGTCTGCGTGACAGCCTGGCTGCAATGGCATGCTGGTCAAGTCTCCAGCCAGAGTCGGTGTAGGTATGCCTTGCAG